AAAAGCTGAACAGTGATTTCTGGTTTTGTAAAAATCCTGTTAACAAAAAATGACTATTAATAATTATGAACAGCTCAGTATCCTCATAGAATTTGCAATAAAATTATGAAATCTTTACCAAATATTATAGAGAACCTCAGCAGTCAAAGACAGCAAGAAGAGTACCATTGATTCCAGTGTTTTTTGTATGTCAGAAATGCAGTGTAGAATGTCGCGGCAGTTTAAGAAACTGGAGGCGTAGTATGTTACTGATGGTAGCCTTTGTTACTTTGGTCCTAGCTCTCTGCAGGTCGTTCCAGAACCCGTGTGGTTCTGGGATTTTTGTTCCCTGTTCTTGTGATTTCACCCCCACATGGTGAGATCTTGCGTGGAGCCCCAGATCGAGGGAGATTATCAGTGGGTTTATATGTCTTCCATTTTCTAAGAATTGGTCCCACAGTTGATTGCTTCACACCAAACTGCTTACCTATAGCAGATTCAGTCTTCCAAACCTGGTGCAGGTCTACAACTTTTTTTTCTGGTGTCCTTGGACAGCACTTTGGTCTTGGCCATCGTGGAGTTTGGAGTGTGACTGACTGCTTGTGTCATGATTCACTGCGTGGCTGGAAGGAAATAGAACCTAAAAGCAGGGACTCAAACGCGGGGAGGGATGAACTCAAAATGGCAGTATTATTGCTGGAAAAAACACACTGGTACTAAACTAAACACAAGGAGCTATAAACAAGAAACTCAAATCAAAAACCCAAGACACGCAGGGGGCTACACTGGGAACACAGGGAGCATGGAGGTGACACACAGCGTGAGGGGACGACGCTACAACAAATGGAGGTGAGCACAGACAATAAATACAGAAGGAGAACAGGGCAACAGGGAACAGCTGGGAGACACGGCTGAGGGCACTTAGACACAAGACAAAATGGGGAGGACACAGAGACGGACTGGAAGGTGAGCGAGAACATGGAGGGGCACGAGAGAGCACAATCACGACAGGATGAGGGAAACACTGAACATAAGGAGTGGACACAAGGCACAAGAACTCACATAACTGTATAAACTTAGACACAGAGGGAGACACAGGGGTCAGCTACACAGAGGGAAATTACTAAACAATCAGGGAACTAAACTGGGACCACAAGAAACTAGACCTTATAGAAATAAACTATAGACTAATAGTGATGTGTTGGTTGCGAACAAAATGGCTCTTAGAGCC